ATCTATTATTGACCTTGAGACTAAAGAATATGATGATCATTTAAAAAAGTATTTAACTAGAATAGACCAAAGAACAAAAAAAAAATTAATTAGATTTGTCCCTTATCATTTTAGAAAGTGCTCTACTTGTATTTAATGACTTAAAAGGCCATTTGAACAAGCTTTACCAATTTTCACTTTAAAAATATAAAAAGTCTCGTTTATTATTTGCACTTTAAACTCCAAATTATCTTGGGCAGCCCCTGTGGCCGAGTCGTGCAGCCCTGGATGACGCCTATCTTAGTGTAGCCACCTGGGTTCAGCCTTCTCCCCGCCAAGTTTGGCTTCTAATCTCTCTCAATCTCTAGTTCATTAAACCGTTGCTACCCTACCTCACACTGAACTCTAAGCCGTTCGAAGGTTCATATCCCAGTCTAAAGGCATTTAGAAATTGCAAATAAAAATAAAAGCCATTGCCAAATTAAACAACAGAGTATCCCTTGAATCATATCCTTTATTGCTTGGTGCTCAACAACATGAATCTGGATAGTTCTCTATAATTTCAAAATCAAACCGTGTAAATGAAAAACCAATTTTAACAGTTCAGAAACTAAACAAATACAACAGATACATAGGAAGGTACACATTGTACAAAACAGGTAACTCTGCTTCTAGTATCAGTTGCAGAAGTAGTTTATCCTCACTTAATAGAGGCAAATGTATGTGCATATTGATGGAAGGTACCTACATCCTCAAGGAATTTAATCAAGGGTAAACCCTGACACGGCTATCAATCGGCTTGCGGCATATGGGACATCTAATCAACTCTGGATCACATTCTTTACAAGTCTGCAATCAATTAACTATATCATAAAATTCTATTGATGGTATTTATACAAGGAAATACTACAATGTCCACAGTTACTTTTCCATAACATACTGAAAGTTACGAAATACTCGGGGTAAAGAGTTACGATTCTATTGGTTCGATTATTATCGAGTATCCATCCCAATATGATATGATGGCTTCCTCTATTTTTTGAACCTCATTGAGTCGTACTTGTGGCCCGGTTAAATCGTAACGTTCTCACTTTTTTCACTAGGTACCAAATTTGGTAACCTAGAGTTTCCAAAGATGAAAGCAAAAACAAAGCATAGAGGTATTGGTGCTGCTCACCATGTGTCCACAACCGAAGGCCATATCCTTGCACTTGGACCAGCAAATTGGGCAGAGCTTCATTTACCCACCAGCATGGAGGAGCACAAAAGAAATATCATCAGCATTTCAAAAAGACAAATCTTATTGTTGTTCTGCAAAAGAAAATGGATTGAAAAGCCAGGAACTATGATCCACAGTCAACCACTCAACCAAGTCAAGTGAATTAGGAAGCCAAACGAATTGGTAAAACAGATCTCCAAGTAGACCTATACATGGGTCAGATTTGAATTGGAGTTTGACCGATTTAAAGACTCAACAGACTCAAATCTGATCTGAGTACCCGATGGATTTTATATTTACCGCCCATATGCATGAGAGCGCCAAACTCAGATCTATTGACAGATCAATTTCCAAGTCAAAGCCATATCTATAAAAAGCATCATAGCATTGATAACATATCCAAAAGCAAGTAATTAATTCCTTACCCAATTTCGTTCATCTGGAGTAGCTGTTGAACGGCTGCTCGATTCCGCAACTGAAAATGCTGGACAATTAGTGTAAGGAACTGTAGGAGGGCGTGGATATATCATCTTTGCTTTTCCCGTCACACATCTATACAAGAATAAAAGAAGATAATTGAGCAAGCATGCATAATCAAATCCACACATCTACAACATTGAAGTCTCTTTCTGACAGAGAAAATGAAAAATATGAGGAGGATGAAATGAGTTCATTGTAAGTGAAAACTCAATAAGATCTCACTTAGAAATAACAATTCAAATTATGAAGCATTAAATACTGAGTTTTCTAAATCTTTTTCATGAAAAATTGCAATGACTGCTTCTTGTATTTGGTCATTTGAGTTTCATTTTTCCAAAACCTGAAGTTCCCACACAAGGAATGACTCAAAATTCAGTAGTCCTTGAATACTTCGGTTGTAAGATCAAAAAAAATTAAGAAATCAAGTGCTCCATACCCTAGTAGACCAAGTTCAGAAGCTGTGTTCTTCTGGTTAGGGATCCCCTTTAGCGCAGCGAGAGCAAATGCAATTTCTTTCTTGGAGGGAGTTGATTCTTTCGACATAATATCAGTAAAATTAACGAACTGTACACATATACAAATAACCAAAGAGCCATTAATTGCTGAACTATAACATTATCGAGTTGACATTTACCATAATTGTCAGAGCAGTACCTCATAATTGTTGAATCTGCGAGCAGGTATCTTGTCGATAAATTTGTTCATGCCTTCCCAGGGTCCATCCCCAACGCCAACAACAAGAATCGAGAGAGGATACAAACTTATCACAAAGGAAAAAAACAAAGAACCTCAGTTTTGGAGTTTCCATGATTGCGTGTTGCATTAAACTTTGAAACATGACAAACTTGAGCTCCAACTCAACATAGTCCCAATAACTTGGGATGCTAAATGTTAGAAAATATAAATATCTAAATCATGAGATTATTACTGAATTGATTCGATTAAATTCAAAAGTATGCTATATTTTCCATGTATGCATCAATTAAATGAAAAATGCAATGTTAATCATAACTTTAGCAGGAAGAAGGATGCTCAATGTTAGAAAAATGCAAATATCAAAATCAAGAATTACCACTGAATTGATTCAATTAAATTCAAAGTTAATTCTATATTTTCAATGTATCCATTAATTAAATAAAAACTGCACATGAAAAGTAACCACAAAAAGTAAACTGTTGGAGCTTTATTTCCCAATTAGAATGTGGCCTCCCCCATTTTACATAACTTTAGCAGGATGAAGGATGCTAAATGATAGACAAGGAAAATATCAATATATAAATATATTAACTACATAAAAAGTTGCACATGGAAAGCAACCATAGAAAAGTGAACCCTTTAAACTCAAATTCAACGGCACTTTACGTCCCGACTATAATGTGAGCTCTCTATTTTACATAACTTTAGCAGGAAGAACTAAGCAAGCTTATAATTTTTGTCTTGCCGACTTCTCATTGGTATAATTTTTTCCTTAAACATTTGAGTGAAAATCACTACTCAATTTGATAGCACCACAGGAACAAATGTAAGCCCCCAATCCAATGTGCACCACTAATGCGGTTAATAAGGGATTTTATTGATGCCCATGTAAGTTCATCGTTTAGGGTTTTCTTCGGTTCTCTCAAATTATTAAATTTCGTGCGGGTAATAGGACATCAGTTAAGTGTGCCGCATTAACAGTTGAGTTAGTAGATAGAAGATAAAACACAGATAAAACAGTAAAAGTATGTCCACATGGCTGTAGTACCTGGCATTAACAATTGCGTTAATAGTTTCCTTTTCTTGTGGGCTGAGTTCCTCATCACTTGCATCGACACTTCTCGTAACCTGCATGATGAAAGTAACTAAACTTGGTATGAGTGCCTAAGCAAGCTGGCATGCCTCTGTTTATATGTGCATGCATTCATTTTGCCTTGTGTTCCAGTTGTGTGTGTGTGTGTGTGTTGTGAGGGGGCGTGTGTGTATGTGAGATGGAGCTTAAGAANCGCCTTGTGTTCCAGTTGTGTGTGTGTGTGTGTTGTGAGGGGGCGTGTGTGTATGTGAGATGGAGCTTAAGAAGTGACCTGGCCATCTGTTATAATAACCAAAACATGGAATCGTCCCCCACTTTTCTCCACTACGCTTATTGCAGCATCAACTACGGGTGCATAAGATGTTGGCCCTTAAACAAAATGACATATATTTAGAAAGGTTTCTTGCTTATGATCTCGATGTCAAAATATTGCAGGATCATTGGGTTAAATTTATTTAGAAGTAGTCTGTGGTCTAATTAATTACAAGAGTGGAACACTTGACGAATGAGCACCCATAATCCGAATTTTGAGAAAGAGAATAACACCTGCCAAAACTACATGTGGAACTATACTGTTGTAGCAGATTAATGCTCCTTCATATCCTTGGCAAGGAGAACAATCAGTATGGAAGCTAAACACTCCTTTGTCTTCTGTAGTGGCTATTACAAACAAAAGAATCCAAGGCAACAGAAAAGTTACATGATCAAGAAAGACATTATATGGGAGAAGTGAATTTCAAGACCTAAATTTGTGAGGATATCGAACCTACCATTACCAAAGCCAAAACAAGGAATTAAATTGTCTTTATCCAAGAAAGCAAAAGTTCTTCCAATAATAGAAATGGTTGTGCAATATGGATTAGGTGTACCACCAACGGCATGCAGGCTCTGTTTGGCAGATGAATATTTGCCTTTGGACACAAAATAGATAGATGCATTAGCTCCAGGACAATGGCACTATAAGAATATGATACCAAATTTGTGACCACCCTATGACTTCTCAAATATAGACGTTAAAATTTTATTTTATAATGTGTATCAAAAACTGCAAATTGGATTATTTGATCAAGAAATGCGCGTGCGGCCATGGCATCATGATCAACAATCCCTGGATGGTGTTAATGCAGAATATGACTGCTCATTCTACAAAAAGAATGCAATAACAGGAAAGAAGAAAGCCAAAAAAAAAGGGGGGGGGGTGGGTTAAAATAATGGAGGGGCTGTACAAAGTTAGACATAATTATTGTCAATAATACAGTAAAGATGTTAGTCAAGATAAACAAAATAAACGGATTACCAAGTCCAACTTCCAAGAAAGTTAAATTCTACCAAAGAGTACCAAGGTCACACATTTTGAAATAGGGGGCAATTTTACTTCACAGATTTCTACCAGAAAATTTGCAGCAATTTAATGGGAAAACTTGTTATTCAATTCCACATACCTGTCCATTCATTACTCTTGGTGAAATCTACTCCAAAAATAAGTTTTGGAGATCCTAGACCTAATTTTCCCAAAAGAGCATTTGCAACCTGTAAGGTGAAGCAATGTTCCAAACATCAGCAAAACAGTCCACTGTGAATCTTAAGAAGAGATGCTGCAAACAGTATATTTAGAAATATAAAATTTACCTTGAAAATGACATCAAATTCAAGATATTATGAACAAAAGTGGTGATACAATCTAACGGAATACATTGGCATNCCCTTGAAAATGGCATAAAATTCAAGATATTATGAACAAAAGTGGTGATACAATCTAACGGAATACATTGGCATACAATCGTTTAGTTGCAGTATTAAAAAGTGGATTACAGAATCATAACATATTAAAACTCTTTAATCCAACCTTTTGTAATAAATTCACTACTTTGGCCTCCAAATAAACAAAAATACAGATAACTAGACTAGATTGATGTTTTTTTTTTCTAAATATGTAATTAGTAATCTAGTATCTCATTATTAATCCAGTAGCTTACCAAACCAAAAACTAGAATAACAAAACTAGAGTAATCTAGTATCTCATATTTAATGTTATATAAGCCGTATTATATAATACAATCATTTACTTTGCAATACAGTACCCAGATGAAATCTCTATCTATCTAACTGCTTGGAGCAACCCAAGATGCTTATTACTTCCACTTGACTTTTAAACGCATGTCATTGTGCGTGTGGCACACAGCCACACAAGGCCAGCCCAACCCCTATCATCACACACCAGCAGCAGCNCATTTATTTTGCAATACAGTACCCAGATGAAGTCTCTATCTATCTAACTGCTTAGAGCAACCCAAGATGCTTATTACTTCCACTTGACTTTTAAACGCATGTCATTGTGCGTGTGGCACACAGCCACACAAGGCCAGCCCAACCCCTATCATCACACACCAGCAGCAGCCTGGCACATCTTTCTAATGAGCCCAGGCCAGAACAACCCCCCTAGGGCCTTATTCGCATAGTGGTGGGCCCACTTTTCTGTACTCGCCGAAATTATATGCTTAAAATTTGGAAGCATGATTTCCATTTTCGTGACCCAAAACACAAAAAAACAGAGATGAAGAAGGAACCTCATCGATGGAATACAAACTCCTTCGGAGAGCCAACTCGGATTCTGAAACCCCTGCCAGTACAAGGACATCAGGCGTAGAAGGTGTTCTTCTTCTTAATTCTGTTGACCTGGTGTTTAGGTAGCTGCTGAAGCCGGTGTAGCCGATGCTGCTGTTACTGTTGCTACTGCTACTGCTACTGCTTCCGCTGCTGCTGCTGGTGGTCGAACCCGATTTCGTCTCCTATTAGAACGAATCCATCAACAATTAGAACCCCGATTTTATCTCCTGATTTTTTTTTAATTAAACTTGCTTAATGTATTGTAAGAGTTTTTAGATTCATATTNTCCGCTGCTGCTGCTGGTGGTCGAACCCGATTTCGTCCCCTATTAGAACGAATCCATCAACAATTATAACCCCGATTTTATCTCCTGATTTTTTTTTAATTAAACTTGCTTAATGTATTGTAAGAGTTTTTAGATTCATATTCAATTTAGTCTACTTTTATTTTTAAGGGTCCAAATAACAGTTTTAGATCAATGTTTTACTTAAGACTAATTTTTAGATCAATGTTTAACACCAATTTTTCTCTTTAAGGTCCATATATTTTTTTAAACCATGATCGGATACATTTAATTTTAAATCCAACAAAATGATAACGAAGAAGAAGGAGGAGAAGAAAGAAAGAGAGAAGATCGCTTACCGGTAACCCCATTGTTTAGGAGGAGGAGGATAGAGAGTGATGTACTCTCAGATTTTTTCGGAGTGGGCTGTGGGGGGTGAAGAAACGAAAATGGTATATGTATGTAGCCCTAAATGGGTCGTCCGATCGGGTTCGGTGGCGAAAGTAATCTGAACGCGTCCACTCTGGCAGTGGCCCGCCGCCGCGTCCTCGAAGACATGCTCGCATGGCATTTTGTTTTTTTTTTTTATTTATAAGGTGAATTTCATTTACATTTAAAAAAAATTTCAGTCATATTCTTTCTCCCTATCATATTTTTAAGAACATCCTCTCTATTATCAAAAATATCACCAANCATATTCTTTCTCCTTATCATATTTTTAAGAACATCCTCTCTATTATAAAAAATATCACCAACACTTTTTCTACTTTATATTTAAACATCACTGATACTCCTGCTATTGAATCATTATTTCTAACAAAAAAAAATTATCTAAAATACCAAAATTCCTCTTACATAAACCACAAATAATTTTTTTACATAAAATTTGAGTTAATTAAAATTTATTTTTCTTAATATTAAAATTTAAGTTGATTAAAACTTGATTCGAGTTGATTAAATTTTATTTTTTTTACATATTAAAATTCAAGTCTATTAAATTTTTTTATGTATTAAAATTCAATCTGATTTGAGCTCAACTTAAGTTAATAGTGCCGATTGAAATTTCATTTGAGTCAACTAAAATTTATATTATTTTAGTTATTAAAATTTGTTACAATTAAAATTCAATTTAAGTTAATTAAAATTTATTTTTTACGTATTAAAATTTCAGTCGATTAAAATTTATATTTTTTAAGTGTTAAAATTCGGATTGATTAAAATTTCATGCGAGTCAATTAAAATTTAATTCGAACTGATTAAAATTGGCTCAAATCAAATTTTAATATTTAAAAAAATTTATATGTCTCATTGAAGATATATTTATCTAGAAAGGGTGTGACTAAAATTTTTCTTAAAATATATTATAGATAATTTAGTAAAATTGTATTCTAGTTAAGACTTTTAATTTAAAAAGAAATGTCATGAAGATTTAAAAAATAGAGGAAGTGTTTTTGAAAAAATGATAAATTAAAAAGAATGTAAGTAAAATTTTTCCTTGATTTTACTAAACCCTGTCTCCCACATTTTAAATATTATACTGAGATCTATTTAGATGGACCTCGTTAACAACATTAAGAGAAAGACCATTTTCCATTCAATTTAACTAACTAAAATATGAGCAAAATCCATATTCACATCCGCCACCATGAACCATGTCTAGACCCATCATCCAAAATCCATGCCCATGACCCAAATAGGGGTGTTCACCTGATATTTTGTGAAATAATTTTTTCTTGATTTATCCTACTCGATTAAGTGTAGTATTCTTATCCGACTTCCATCCAAATTAATTGGATAGAAAGTCGAGTAAGAAATCGGGAGAACCTGTTTTGTAGTTATTAATTTTTGGATCATTTCAACAATTCAATTAAGTAACCTGCACCAATTTAACAACACAATAAACTAATAACACTAACACCTAAAACAATTACAAGAAAATACAAGAAAACCCAAGGTATAAACATAAAATCCATCATAATTATTGCACAAATACAATGACAACTATTTTAGATTTAAACCATATGAAACATATCAAAAATCATAACTGTTCTAATATATATATATATGTGTGTGTGTGTGTGTGTGTGGGGGGGGGGGGTAGAATAGAAATACGAAAATTTGATGAGTATTTCGCATTTCTACCCGATTTAATCAAAAGACCAAAAAATCTTATGTAAATTAACATTCAAATTCAAATTTATCAAATTGACATTCAATTACAACAAATTAACATGTAATCAATACCCAATTAATATATAATTTTATAAAATTAAAAATTAATTTGTCAATTTAATACNTTCAAATTCAAATTCAAATTTATCAAATTGACATTCAATTACAACAAATTAACATGTAATCAATACCCAATTAATATATAATTTTATAAAATTAAAAATTAATTTGTCAATTTAATACCAAATTAACATTAAATTCATCAAATTAATACCAAATTAATAATCAATTTCAATTAATTAACATTCAATTTTTTCTAATAAGCATTTAATTCACTAAATTAATATTCAAATTCAACTAGTTAACATTAAATTAATCAAATAAACTTTCAATTTCATTCAATTAACACTCAATTCATCAAATTAACATATAATTTCATAAAATCAACACCAAATTAACATGTATTTTCATCAAATTCAAATTTAATTTATCAAATTAACATTGAATTCATCAAATTAATATTAAATTTATTAAATTAACACAAAATTCACACTTAATTTCATCAAATTAACATTCAATTTTTTCTAAGGACCATTTGATTCACTAAATTAACATTCAAATTCAACAAGTTAACATTAAATTAATCAAATAAACTTTCAATTTCATTCAATTAACAATCAATTTATCAAATTAACATTGGGGTTTATCAAATTAACATTCAATTTTGTCAAATTAACATGTAATTTCATCAAATCAACACCAAATGAACATATAATTTTAAACAATTAAAATTTCATTTATCAACTAACACCAAATTAACAATAAATTTCACGTAATTAACATTAATTTTTTTCTGATAAGCATTTCATTCACTAAATTAACATTCAAATTCAACTAGTTAACTTTAAATTAATAAAATAAACTTTCAATTTTATTCAATTAACACTCAATTCATCAAATTAACATTCAAATTATGAAATTAACATTAAGATTGATCAAATTGGCATTCAATTTTATCAAATTAACATCTAATTTTTTCAAATTAACATATATTTTTATCCAATTAAAATTTAATTTATTAAATTAACACCAAATTAACATTCAATTTCATGTAATTAACATTGATTTTTTTTCCTGATAAGAATTTAATTCACTAAACTAACATTCAAATTCAACTAGTTAACATTAAATTAAATATATAAACTTTCAATTTCATTCAACTAACACTCAATTCATCAAATTAACTTTTAAATTATCAAATTAACACTCAGATTTATCAAATTGACATTCAATTTTATCAAATTGGCATGTAATTTTTTCAAAGCAACATCATATTAACATGTAATTTCACTCAATTAAAATTTAATTTATCAAATTAACATCGAATTAACATTGAATTAATCAAATTAATATTAAATTCATTAAATTGACACTCAATTTCATCAAATAAACATTCAATTTTTTCTAATAAGCATTTAATGAACTAAATTAACATTCAAATTCAACTAGTTAACATTAAATTAATCAAATAAACTTTCAATTTCATTCAATTAACACTCAATTCATCAAATTAACATTCAAATTATTAAATTAACATTAAGATTGATCAAATTGGCATTCAATTTTATCAAATTAACACCTAATTTTTTCAAATTAACATATATTTTTATCCAATTAAAATTTAATTTATTAAATTAACACCAAATTAACATTCAATTTCATGTAATTAACATTGATTTTTTTTCCTGATAAGAATTTAATTCACTAAACTAACATTCAAATTCAACTAGTTAACATTAAATTAAATATATAAACTTTCAATTTCATTCAACTAACACTCAATTCATCAAATTAACTTTTAAATTATCAAATTAACACTCAGATTTATCAAATTGACATTCAATTTTATCAAATTGGCATGTAATTTTTTCAAAGCAACATCATATTAACATGTAATTTCACTCAATTAAAATTTAATTTATCAAATTAACATCGAATTAACATTGAATTAATCAAATTAATATTAAATTCATTAAATTGACACTCAATTTCATCAAATAAACATTCAATTTTTTCTAATAAGCATTTAATGAACTAAATTAACATTCAAATTCAACTAGTTAACATTAAATTAATCAAATAAACTTTCAATTTCATTCAATTAACACTCAATTCATCAAATTAACATTCAAATTATTAAATTAACATTGAGATTTATCAAATTGACTTTCAATTTCATCAAATTAACATGTAATTTCATCAAAAAAACACCACATGAACATATAATTTTATCCAATTAAAATTTAATTTATGAAATTAACATCAATTTTACAATAAAATTCATGTAATGAACTGTAAATATTTTCTGATAAGCATTTAATTCACTAAATTTATATTCAAATTCAACTGCTTAACATGAAATTAATCAAATAACCTTTCAATTTCATTCAATTAACACTAAATTCATCAAATTAACATTCAAATTATCAAATTAACGTTCAGATTTATCAAATCAACAATAAAAATTTAATTTATCAAATTAACACCAAATTAACAATAAAATTCATGTAATTAACTGTAAAATATTTTCTAATAAGCATTTAATTCACTAAATTTATACTCAAATTCAATTGCTTAACATGAAATTAATCAAATAAACTTTCAATTTCATTCAATTCACACATAAATAATCAAATTAACTTTTAAATGATCAAATTAACATTAAGATTTATCAAATTGACATTCAATTTTATCAAATTAACACGTAATTTTATCAAATCAACATTAAATTAACATATAATTTTATCCAATTAAAATTAAATCCAAATTAACATTCAATTCATTAAATTAACTCCAAATTATCAATCAATTTCATGTAATTAACATTCAATTTTTTATGATAAACACTTAATTCACTAAATTAACATTCAAATTCAACTAGTTAGCATTAAATTAAATATATAAACTTTCAATTTCATTCCATTAAAACTTAATTTTTTAAATTAACATTCAAATTATCAAATTAAAACTCAGATTTATCAATATAACATTCAATTACAACAAATTAACATGTAATTTTATCAAATCAATACCAAATTACACATGAAATTTCATCCAATTAAAACTTAATTTATTAAATTAACATTCAATTCATCAAATTAATATTTAATTCATCAAATTAACACTTAATTTCATCTAA